AAAGAGCTAGCAAAGAAGGGGGACGAGGCCTGGAAAGAGACCGAAGCGGGCAGAGGAAAAGAGGAAATAGACGAAGAATATATCGCGAAGGCGGGGAGATAGACGAAGGCCCAGACGCGAACAACGAAGAGTGTGAGATGGTGGAGACGGTCAAGGTAGGCGGGGCGTGAGAGGGGAGGAAGTCGTTCGAGCGGTAGGTTGCTGAGAGAGCACGAGGCCGCGAAGCAGGTGGCGCTGCCCGCGGCGGAGGGGGCGCAGGCTTCCCTCTTGCGCGAGCAGCTGAGCAGCAGCCAGGCCGCGCGGGGCGAGCTGCGCGCCACGTGGGGTTGGGACGAGGAGGGGCGCGCCGCCGCGGGCGCGGTGGGGGCGAGCGACGACGACGAGGAGGAGGAGAACAGCGATGGCGCGGGGAAGAGCGGGGCGGGGAGCGGCTACGCGTCTGCGAGCGCGGCTGTATCGCCACCCGCGAGCTCTGCCGTCCTCTCCGCGCTCGCGCCATCGGCCGGCACTTCGCAGGCGGTACTCGCGGCGCTCGCCGACTCGGACGATTCAGACGAGGAGGAGGCGGGCGGGGCGGGCGGGCGTTGTGGTGTCGCACCGGCGAAGGCGGCGGCGGCCGGCGGGGAAGCGGTCGCAAACGGAAACGGCAACGGCAACGGGGTGGGCGCCGTGGCGGCTGCGCCGGCTGTCTGCCCTCCCGGCTCGAGCACGGACGAGCCAAGCGAGGGGTCCGAGGACACGAGAGCCGCGCTGGAGGCGCCGCTCACTTGTCCGGGTGGCTCCCGCGCAGCAGCCCCGCTGTGCCGCTTAGCCCTCCCCGGCCCCGCCGCCCCAGGCGCGGCTCTCAGAGATGGAGGACCAGATGCAGGCGGCGGTGGACGCCGACGACTTTGAGGAGGCGTCGCGCATCCAGGATGAGCTCGACGCGCTCAACGACGCGATCGACGCCCTCGGGTAGCCCATATGGCTGGCCATCTATGTGGCGCATGTGGGCCGCGTGGCGCCCCCGCGAGCGGGCGGGGCGCCGGCGCGGTCTCGTGGTGCCGCTGCGCGCTGGGCTCTGCTGAGAGTCGCGGGTTGCGGCCGAGGTCTTGTGTGTCTGTGTGTGAAGTCTGAAAGATCCAAGACCGCCCGCAAAGATGAGAACGACACACGGCAGAAGGAGTCTATTGCAAGCCGGTTATCGCGCGGCCGCCCGCGCCCCTCGTTTTTAGAAGTGAATCTCTCTCACGTCTCAGAGTCTCACACGCGCGGCGCGCCGCGCCCGCACAAAACGGGGTCGGGGAGGTCTCGCGGTTGTATGTATGTAAGTAGAGGAACGAGTGGAGAGGACAGGGAGGGACGTTTATTGTTGGCGGTCGTGCGCTGGGTGGTAATCGTCATCTGTCTGCTCTGCTGTGCTTCTCGCTCGTGCGTCCTTGGAAGTTGTGCTGACCTCCTTTCCCCCCTGAGGGAGGGTGTAGAGGATGTAGAGTGTAGAGCGCTGTAGAGATGTAGAGATGTGGAGCGCTCTGGAGCGCTGTAGAGCTGTAGAGCTCTACATCCGCCGCATGACGAGGCGCCTGCGTTGTAGAGCAATGTAGAGCGCGATTTTGCTGTAGAGTTTGTTGTAGAGGCTCTATAGCCAAACGGCCGGGAAGGCAGTGACTCAAAGAGGTCGAGCCGCGCTAATGGGGTGTCTCCGAGCTTACTGGAGCTCTGATGGACAGCCCTGACTATCCCTGACACACAGAGAGTCACTCTGACGGCACACAACACCCTATAACTGCGTCATGACCAGCCTGCCATGTGTCGCCGGTGCCGCATTCATCGCGGTGCTTCTTTAGCAGGCGGTGGACTGTCGGCTGCGAGGACGGTCGCATTTGCGCGAGGCGAGGCGAGCATTGCTGCGCGTTGCATGCGCCATGACTCGCGCCAGCGCGTGCGGGAGCTCCTGGCTGAGCGTTGAGTCCAGGCGAGTTGCGCTGGCCACGATCGCTACGCCGAGCCGAGCTGACGCGCCGAGGCGCCGGCCAGTCGCAGCCGTGAGGCATGCCACAGCAGCAGAGGCACCTGCCACCCATTGGGCGGGCAGACAGAAGGCCAGGGCAGCACTGGCAAGTGCAACGCGCCTCATGTCGGAGAGCGACCGTGCCTCGTTCGCCGCTTATGATGAAGAGTTTGTTGTAGACATTTCACGTTGAGCACTTGAGCACTGGATAGGGTCGATTCCGCATGGTACGGGACCCCTCGATCGTCTCGCCCTCCCTCTCTGGTGTGTTCATTGGGGGGGGTCATCACACAAACACGGTACAGGATCGAGGTGCACGCTGCTGAACCAGTGTCGTCCCCC